CTGGAAGGCAATGCTTGCCCAGCGGGCCAGGAGGTGCGTGTCACGCTTGCCTTGCCAGAGCAAGGCAGGAAGATTTTTATGCTGTCCTGTGAGGAGAAGCTCTGTGAGAAGAGAGCTGCTTCCCCCACTGTGTGAGGCAGTGCGGAAGGACATCCGTGCCCTGAGCACTGCCCCGAAGGAATATAAGCCGCTCACCGCCTCTGGGGCTTTCGGAGCGCAGAAACCCTTGGGCATCGCTTGGCCGGGAAAACGCCGGAGGTAGCCCAGGAGAAGTTCCAGGCTCAAATCCATGAGCGGGTGAACACCTGCAACATGCTGCTGTACTAGCTGAGGCAGCGGAGCCGAATCCGGGATGAGCTGCAGAAGCGGTTGCAGCAGCTGCAGGATACCGAGATGGACAACCAGTGGCATCAGGCACAGGTGGTTTGCCAGCTGGGGAACAGCACTGAGAAGATGCTGATGAAAGCCCAGGCTGCAGAGAAGGTGACCGCCCTGTACCTGGCAGTGTGGGATGCCCTGAGGAAGGAGCTGGCCCAGCTGCCTCGGCACCTGGACCTCCTGAGCGAGACGGCTGATCTGTACCGTGGGGAGCTGGAAACCATGGAGCTCATGGCCTCGGGTGCCCTCAGAGCTGCTGCTGTAGCCAAGGAGGACATGGCCAAGAAGAAAGCAGAGTTCCTGGTGGAGAGAGAGCTCAGGTGCCACTCCCTCGCTGCCCAGAAGGCACAGAAGAAAGAGCTCGAAAGGCATCTGAGAGTGCAAGCCAGGTCCCAGCTTGCCGAGGACTTGCCAAGCGTGCACATGCAGGACCCACTGGTGGCTGCCAAAGAGGCCACTGAGTTCTGGATGGTGACTGAAGCTGGAGAAGGCCAAGGCTGCGGTGGAGTGCTCTCGCTTCAGGGACATCCCCAGCAGGCTCCTGGCGCAGAAGAAGTCCTCAGTAGCCATGCAGGAGCACATCGAGGCCTGCAAGCAGAAGTGCCGCGCAATGAAGGAGAAGCTGAAGGAGCTGGAGGGGAAGCAGGCCAAGCTGAAGTTTCGTCCGCCCCGCAAGACCAACAGGAGGCTGGAGGAGCTGAGGATGCACCTGCAGCAGGCAGAGGTTCGGCTGGAGCAGCTGCAAGCCCCGGTGCTGAGGAACCAACAGGTCCTGCTCCAGATTGAAAATGCCATCGAGAGCCTCTTTGCCCCGTCTGCATGGGATCACCGTGCCCGGTCAGGACGATTCTGTTGAGGCCGGCAGCGCGGAGGAGAAGCTCCAGCAGTGCCAGCAGAAGCTGCAGTACCTGGTGCAGCGGGTGGCCAGCCTGCCCCCCGACATGCATGGCCTGGAAGAGGACAATGAGGCTTTTGTCAAGGTGCAGAATTCCCTGGAGAAGGCAGCTGCAAACCATCCACAGAACGTCAACATCTGCTTGGAGGAGAGCAGCAGCAGGGTGGAAGACACCTTTGATTTTCTCAAGAAAGGCGAGAACCTTGTCCTCACCCGGCAAGGCATCAAGAAGCAGGGGCTGCACCTGATGAAAACAAAGAAGAAAGCGGCAAGAAGTGGCTGGTACTGCAGCAGCCCTTTGGATCTCCAGACCACCGCTAACGCTTCGGATGCGCCAGACCAGCCACTGTAGCCTTTTCCCAGCAGTTGAATACACCGGCTCTTTTTTTGTTCCTCTCAAGGCTGTGGTCGCTTCTGTCCCCTAGAACACATGGGGGTCAAAGCCTGAGGTGAGGGGTGCTGAGCTGGGTTTGGAGGCAGCCCCATGCCCCTGCCTGTCGCCCAGCTGCTCTCCCTGCAGAGCTGGGGCTGGGCTGGGGAGAGCTTTCCCAGCCAGAGCAAGCGAGTGGGCACAGAGGACAGGGCTGGGCCAAGCACACCCATGGCATGGGGGCTGCTGAGCCCAGATGGGGTGTCCAGGTTGGGGTGGGGGCCAGGGGAGGATGCTCAGGGTTGATAGGATAGTGAGAGTGTCTTTACAAAAATATAGTACCACTTACCCAGGCTGGTACAAGATACCAGAGACCTAAACAATGAATAGATAAGGAGGAGAGTGTTTTTGCAAGTACGTGGCACTGTTTACCCAGAGGAGCCATGTGTTTATTAAGTAATCAGCAGGCCTCGTAAAACAAAAGGTGCCATGTATCTCAGCAATTAGTGAATCTCAACTGAAACCAAGGACCAGACTACAAAGCTCTGTTAGAGAAGACAACTTGCAACAGAAAAATCATTAAAAAAAAAAATTCCTCAAAAATTTCAAGGGAAGTTTGAACTTTTCAACTTTAGGAAACAGTGCACAGTCTTAATAGACTTACTAATATTAACTTCTCCGCCCAGGAGATGCATAATGACACAATAATGAAACATACGATGCATGATGCAAAGGGGGGTACACGTTAAGGGGGGAAAATGTAGTATATGTAGTAAGGTGGATCGGGAAGCCTGTGCCTTCCTAGTACCTTAGCCAATGGGGAACAGGAGAGGGTCCACTGTGGCTGGGAAATTAGGATAAAAAGGGGGCTGAGACCCCACGGGATATGCCCAGTGGACTCTTCCTTTATTCGAGTAAAGTTTATTTTACAGGACTCCTCTGTCTCCTTTGTGAACACTGAGCGCTGGTGCCAGGATTTTCCGCACAGAATGAAACACCTGTATTTTATGAGGCAGGAATCAATAGTCAGGTCATCCTGTTGCTGCTGCTGCTATAGTAGTGGAGTATTATTAAACTGACAGTTTAGAGGCAATCAACATCTACTTCCTGGGACCTTTTTTGACTTGAATGGAGAAAACTAGAATGTTTCTTTTTGATGGGTTCAGAAAATTGGTTTGAGAGTCTTCGTTCATCTTGTCCCCAAACTCCAGTGTTGGTACAGAACAAAAAGTAATGGCTTTAGGACCAGCAAAGTCCAGTTGCCAGGACCTCCAGCCCTGACGAATTTACCAGTGTTACTATGGGTGTCTCTTTTAAGCCAGTGGTCAATTTAGGCAATAAAGACGCTTTCACCAAGTTTTATCTGTAACTGCAGATAATATATAGCTTGATATTAACTAACTGTCTGATTTTAGCAAACTTCTCTGAGCTTTGTATTAGAATAAAAGTGAAAGTGGGGAGAGGTTTTTGGGGAGGATTGGATTGTTTGTTTCTTCTTTTAATACACAAAGGGATCTTATACATTTTTGGCCTAGTGGGATTTGAACTGACATTGATAGATCTAGCCTATCTGAGCAGCTCAGGGAGAAGTGGAATAATTACATGAGCTTTAATGAATTATTAGATGTGATTTGTGTAGCTGCGCTGTAAAATGTAAACCAGCTACAGTTATTTGGTCAAAGGATGGTCAGTGTGTCCTTTACAAGGAAATGTGAAATCATTTCAAAGCTCTTAAGTAGTCACAACATCTAGCAAAAATAAAACTCCGAAGCTACAAGCTCACCTCCACCAAACTAGAAAACATATTATTAATTTCTGATATAAATAGGATAGACATAAAATGAGGTGTGTATATGTAAAAATGCATAACTTTTATGAAATATGAGGCAGGATTGCCTTTGTTTCGCCAATAGTTATGAAAAAGAAGGCTGGAGTTCTGTGGGATACTGGCTGACTTTTGGGTTCCCATTTTGGGGCGGTGGCTTACTATAGGTGTTCAGGGCAGAGCAGATCAGAGCAAAAGAGCAGTGATATTCCCAAAAATGTTTCCCAGCTTCCTGCATCTCTGGAGGTGGTTTCTGTATAGTCAACAGCCTTCAGCTGATCTCACCTCCTGGAATTAGTCCACAATCCTGCTGCGAGCCAGAGTAAATATTTGACAACCACAGCATCCTCTGATAAGGAGGTCCATGGCTTAACTAGTGTCTGTGTTTCCTTCTATTTCTTTTGAACTTTGCTCCTTCTAGTATCATGAGATGTCTCAGGTCCTTACGATGGAGAGACATTAAACAGCTTTTTCTTACTTGCTTCTCCCTGTCTCAGTTTTAGAGTATGATAGCTCCCTGTCAGCATCCTAATCCGTCACCATGTATCCTCCGGTATCACTTACCGTGTATTATCTAACCAGAGATTTAAAAAAAAAAAAAAAAAAAAAAGTGTTGAAACTAAGTTTTCTTGGGATAAAATGGAATGTCTTTGAGAGTTTAATAGCCAGTTACAGTATGGGGAATGAAACTATTTTTGCCCTGTTACGGTCGAAGTTTGTGGGGAAAAAGGAAAAGTTGCAGCAGGGTCTCTGGACACCAGTTAACTGATGGAACAGCAGATGAAATTCACTATAGATAGATGTAAAGCAATGCATGTAAGGCCAAACAACCCTTATATAGTACAGAACTGCTCTGAAAAGAGCTTTTGGAATTACAGCAGATAGTTCAGTGAAAATGTCAACTCAGTGAAAAAGCTCAGGGTGCAGTAACACTGCAAAAAATCCTCATAAAATGTGCAGAGTAGTTAGGAAAGGAGGAAAGCACAAAAGAGAGCCTTCTGTAAACTCCTGGTGTACCTACTGCACCTTTGAATCTTTGTGCAGTTCTAGGTTTCCTATCAGGAGCTACTTAAACTGTGTCCCTGAGGTGTGCGATGCAGCCGACGCAATGTCCTCACCTTCCCACGGTCCTGCGTCTTCCTGGACTCTTGGCTTCACAATTTGAGTTGGTTAAGAAGAATAAAGTAGAATTGGAGCTGGGTGACTTCCTGATGCGACTTTGAAAACTTGTTTTCTTGGTATTCTTTCCTGTTGCTGGTTTTTGCTGTTCTGCTTCTGCCCCTAAAAGAAGGTGGCTTCTGGGTCTGCTGGTCCCCAGCCAAAGAGCTGGGGGCCAGCTTGTGGAGATTTGTGAGGCTCGCAGTAAAAAGCTTGCTAAATAGATTACTTCATGAGGAATTGTAAAAATGAAGGCAAATGTGGATCCAAACTTACTTTCTGTGACTTGACTATATTTCATGCTGAATTACTCTCCTGTGTATATTGGTGACATTATTTAACTCTGTTGGCTGGCTAAGGGCAGTTGAAACAATCCTGCTCATTCCTCCTCAAGTTATTAGAGACTTAAATTATTTTCCATCCAGGGAGGGGCAGGTGAAGGAGAAATCATGTACATAAAGCCATAATGAGGGCTTGGAATTATACAGTTGAATGCAAATGTAGAAGAATGAAATTAAGATCCAGATCAGAACTGAAAATCTGGTTTTCTTGTTGTCTTTAATTCTAGACTGTTGTGTAGTGTGCTGTAGACAAAATTATGCTGTGGAGAGTGTAATTATGCAATTAAAGCTTCTGCCTTGGTGCACTTGGACCAAAGGATGGAAGGAACCAACTGTGTTTTTTTTCTGTTTCCTGAATGTTAAAACTGCGGGGAAAATATCCCTGCAAGTGTCTTATGTTTTCAGGTATCTCTGCTTCTTTTTGGTACGCTGTTTTAACAGCCCAAATAGCTTTCAGGTAGTCTTTTAACTCGCTTGTCCCCTTCATTTATTGTCGTGTTTTCTCTTGTGAGTATTTGGCCCAGTAGACAGTGTGGATAACTACTGCTTCAGGGTGCCCTTTATCTTGATGTATTTTGAGAGAATCCAGCTTCATCTGTCAGTTGGTGTATGTCTGGTGGGATAAGCAGTGTTACAGGAGTTGCAGCATTTAATGCAAGAAGAATGGAGGTGTTTGCATGTTGCTTCAGGGTTTGGAGCCTCTGATCAGATGTGAGGTGGTAGCACCAGAGAGACAGTGGTTTCATCCTTTCAGTTCCTTTTTAAAAAAAGGAAAACATGTATAGTATCTGCTCCATTTGCAGCTTGAAAAATCGATATTTTCCAGAGGTCAGTGCAAGATTTAAGAGCAAAGCTATGGCCTCTGCTTTTGAAAAGCATCGTCTGCAGTGAGGTTTTCCCTAATGAGTCTGATCATGCACGAGGCAGGACAGGATTGTGTTTGCACTCTCACTGCTCTGTTGTGGTTTGGTGAATAGTTATACTGGCAGTCAAAGCTACCCAATGTTTTTGTTTTAAAGCTGAATTTTCAGGTCCCTCTAAACCCTGTATGCAACCAGATGAACTTGAAAAAGAGCATGTTAGTTTGTGGCCTACAAGTGGAGGCTAGGTATAAATGTTTAAAGTGCCACATAAAGAGTTTCCAAGATGTGTATTTGCTCCTGGCCTGTTCCTGGCATGTTTTTAAATCTGTTTTGTGTAGAGGGGAAATTCGTGGGTATTACCGACACAAAAGTCATGTTGCGAGTCTCAACACACTTGAATTTAAAATTCAGACTGGAATTTTCAGAGTGCAAACTTTAGAATTTTATTTTAGGCTAAAAAAATTCTTTTGGAACAAAACTTAAAATCAAAGGATGTATTGAGTAAGTCAGCTGTCCAGTGTAGGCAAGATTAGCTGTTGATTTTCAAGTTTATATGTGTTCCTAACTGAGTATACGTGCAAAGCTGCGGTGGGCCTTGCCTCTTCCTCCCTGCTGAGCCCCCCTGCCTCCAGCAAAGCTCTGCCCAGGCCACCCCTGCAGGCTGGGCAGCCCTCTGATGGTTCACAAGGTGGTGCTGGCTTAGCTCCTTATGGTATGTTGCCCTTATGGTATCTTTACCCATTTAAAAGTAAATATAGTTACCTACTTAGGTATATTTAATCTGTTGCCCAGATTTACAGACTTCTGTAAAACCACCTGAGTGACGTTTGTTGCTCTAATCTCCCAGCTTTCGGGGTTGTTTCATTAAAAGAGGCTTATAGTTGCTTTCAGGCTGAACACGAGGGTCAGACTTTATTGTCATTCCTGAGATGTCCATCATTTCCACTCCAGTCCTGTTGTCTGAAGTCAGCTTAAAGGCTTAGCTTAGTCCCTGTGGTTTCCTAGAATGAAGAAACCATTTAACAATCACACTTGTGATTTCATGTGACAAGCAGGAGCAGGTTAATAAGAAACAAACAACCTAAGCAGAACTGAAGGAGTCTGTTATTGTGGAAACGTGCTGCTCGTAACACCCTTGCCCAATACAGTAATCTCCTTTTCCTTTTCCTCGGAGAGGAAGGTGGAAATTGGAGGTGGAAACATTGTGCCCAGTTCATCTTTGCCCTTTGCAGCTCTGGTCTAGGGAATTTTCCAGTGCCTTGCAGTAGATCTTCAAGAAACTCTTTTAACTTGAGATACTGCTGCAATGTTAAAGGCAGAGGGAGCGGAAGATCAGTGAGGTGAAGTCTTTCAGATCCCCCCCCCCAAAGCCTCCTAGGGGATAATGCTCTGTAAATACAAGTTAAGGAAGCCCTTGCAGCTGGGGCTCACCTGGTCCTCAGTCAGTCTGGGGATAGATGTTCAGTCTTTTCTTCTCCTGATGTGATTCCTGTGCAGGAGTGACTCTGGACCACTGTTTTCATTTGTTATATGTGGTAAATGCTGCATGTATTTTTTTTCTTCCTGTTTTAGTCTCTGCACAACAGGGGTGGTCCGTTTACATATCAACAACTGGCTGGAAGTGAGTTTCTGCCTGCCTCATAAAATCCATTATGTTGCCACAAACTTCATACCCCCTGAAGCAATTGAGAGAAGCCTGAAATCTATCAGGTAAGAGCAGGCTCTGGCCTTCAGAGTGTGGCCGGTCCCCTCTCCAGTTCCAGGTGTGGTGCTGCAAGTGTCTGTGCTGGCACAGCTGGGGGGTGATGTGACACGGAGCTGTGGCGGGGGCGGGGGCTGAGACGGGACTCCCTGGAGCTGCTGCTGTGGTATGTGCGGTGCTGCCATGTATGTGGTGGCGTGAAGCCACAGCCTCTGCGTTAACATTGGGTGGTTGTGCTGAGGTGATGCTGCAGGAGAGGTCTGTGCTGCTTCCAGTCAGAGGAATTGTTCGTTTTAATCTGTTGACCCAGAAGCAATTTTGCTTTCAGAAGAAAGAGCGTCCAGGCCCTGTGATATCTTATTTCCTGCATTCCATGTTTACAGATTTTTGCCTGCAAAAGTAACTAACTCTTGCTTTCTTCCTTTCTTCTACTTCATTCTCTATTTCAAGTAATGCAGATGAGCAGTTTTCAGACTAGTTCTCTGGGCTTAATTGCATGCCAGCACAGTGCAGGTTGGTTTTTTTCCTAGTCACTGGGGCATCCTGTTACCATATAACCCTCTATCCTCTTTTTATAGGGAGCATCTTACTTTGACATAAAAATAAGCTTATTCTGAACCCACTTATGGCAAAAGGATGATATTAGAAGTTCTTTTTTACCAGTAGATTGACCCGAGGTATCATGGTCTGGGAATAACTAAGCCTTCAGGGAAAGCTGCAGTTTACTGTGCAAATGTATTCTATTTTTCTGCAGGCCTTACCATGCCTTATTACTTTTAAATGATGAGAAATCATTGCTTAATGAGCTCCCGTTGGACTGCTCTCCTGCCCTGGTGAGAGTAATTAAAACTACCTCTGCTGTGAAGAATTTGCAGCAACTGGCTCAAGATGCTGACTTGGCATTGCTGCAGGTAAGGGGAACTGTCAGTGGCAGCTGAAATTCTTTTAAATCATGAGGTGCTTTCTTTCTGTGTGCCAGTGGGTTCCTGTGGCACACGAGCACGTCAGCCCTTCTGGTGTGAGCAGAGTGCACAGAGCAGGCGTGAGCCTGAGAGCATGGGGAGAGGCTGGAGAAATGAAGGGCGGCAGTGCAGTGACAGCGCTCCACAGTCCTGCAGCCACATCCAAGGCACAGGCTGCTGTGGGGTAGCAGGGGTGCCTGGAGATCTCTAGTCCACACCACTGCTCCGAGCAGGTTCATTGAGGCAGTCTGCTCAGGAACTTGGCTGTTCGAATTCTGAATACCTCCAGTGATACCTCCTGCAGCCTCTCTGGGCTCTGGTCCAGCATTTGACCAGCATCAGAGTGAAAAACTTTCCCTATATCTAATGGGAATTTCCCACCTTGTGTGTGGTGCCTCCCATGCCGATCCTGTGCCCTTCTGAGAAGAGTGGCTCTGTTTCCTCTGTGCCTTCCCGTTAGGTAGTTCAAACCAGAACAAATAGTACTCTTGACTTCCACCACAGGGGTCTGTCTTGGTTCTGCCACATCGATGTCTACGTGCAAATGGAGGCACCCAAAATGCAAGTGAAAGCTTACGGCTGCTGTAGCCAAATACGTTGCTTCCCCTGGACGTGCCAAGATCTTTTCTGCTAAAGAGCTCTGAAAGCTTCTGCTAACCCACCTACTGATTTCCCTTAGTACATTAGTGCGTGGACTTGGCAGAGTCCCAGGAAGAAGCTTTAGTTTAGGCTTGGGCAAAAATTTTGAGCCGGTCCATCCAAGCCAGCAGCTCTTTCCAAATGTCTTTCCAGTATTGACAACCAGACTTGAAACCTGAATTGCTCAAGGTGATGTGATGAGCCCTTGGAAAGGGATGTTTGAGCCAGTGGGGGGAATGAGACTGGCAGTCACGTGAGACACGAGGCCACTGTGGATGACTGGGGTCATTGTGGCCTTTGCTTGTCGGGCCTGAGGTATTAGGCGGTGTGGGAGAGGGCTACTGCGTGCTTGTAAGGGCCAGCTCAGACCCGAGGACACATCTGTGCTCTGTGTGACGGGAGAAGGACACGGCTGGTGCTCATCGCAGGTGCTCCTGATCGTGCGTCCGCACCTTCTCTTGGTGGAAGGGAAAGGTCCTGTTTTGTACTAAAATTTCCAGGTTTGCTTACAATGGTCTGTGATGTTACTTGGCGTTTTATAGCTATGGGATGAACTCTGGAAATTCCCTACTGCTTCTGTAGCTTTGTTCTCCACAAAAAAGCAAAGTTAAATGCACCTAATGATAGAGGCTGGATTTTATGTCTCGTAGACGCTATTTATGTGGCTCTTCCAGAGCCATTAGCAACCACGGACTTCTTTAACACATTAAAATACTTTGTGTAACTCATTACTGAAATATCTCAGTGCATGAAAAAGGCAGAGTTAGTTTCCTTTATGTTTGTGTCATAGTAAAGCCTGATTCTTTTATTTTTCATGTATAACGCCTAATGCGTTTTGTGCATAACAAAAATAGGTTTTTGGGGCATGAAAAGCAATTAAACTTCTATTGATACGATTTGAAGAAATTCCTTTAAGGCAGGAAATACGAAGTTGTTTAGAAATGTAAAGTGAACCTCTGAAAATTCATAACCTTGGCAACTGCTTTTTGATGTGCCACATGTTATATTAAACTGTGAATTTATTCTGAAGGCAGGGTGAAAGGATGGAACACTTTTCTTTCATTTCAGTTCAAACAACTTTTCTGTCATTGTATGGAACTCCTGCTGAGAGTTTTTGAACTTTGATTTTTCTCCCCTAATTTTTCCTTGTTTTCTTAATGCAGGTTTTCCAGCTTGCTGCACATCTCGTATACTGGGGAAAAGCAATTATTATTTATCCGCTGTGTGAAAACAATGTCTACATGCTTTCTCCAAATGCCAGTGTCTGTCTGTAAGTAGAAGGAAAACGAGTGACTGTAGCAACCGAGGGGTGAGAAGTGCAGATATGCTTTCCTTCCCTGCCTTGCTGGATACAGAGTGGGATCTTTCTTCATGTATGAATGTGCTGAGACTGTACCAAACACAAGCCATTACATGTGCCGGAACTTGCAGAGCCAGTGTGTGGTAGGGAGGAGCGTCACCGCAGATCGATACGCTTCTGCAGTGATGTGGGCCTTGGAAACAGTATTTACCCTGTGAAGCTCCTTTTTAGTACGCCTGCTCCCTGAATGTCCGTGTCAGAAAGGCTGTATGAACCTGAAACAATATGGAAACATTCATAAAACAAAATACTTTATGATTAAGTTAGATAACTGAGCGTTTCATAGGACTATCTGCGTATCTGGCACACAGCATCACCTGAACTTAATCACAAGTAGCAAGTCAGGGTAGTGTTGCTATCACTATTGTATTGTTTCATGTGATAGCATTTTATACTGATACGCCTTCTCGCAGACAGGAGGCAATGAGGCCATTTTGAGAGCAGGCAGTGGCAATGCAAGGAAGATGTGGAGACAGTGGGTGGGTATTTTTGCTCTGCTAAAGTTTGGCAGCCCTTTCTCTGTTGGATTTTAAGACGGTTTTAGAATCTGTCTTGGAACTCAGTTATAGGAAAATAGTTTTAAATCAAAACTTCTGTGATGGAAGTATAAAAATAGGGCTGGAAGGGACCTTGAGGTCATTCAGGAACAACTGTGCCTGTGTCATATATGGCAGTGCTGTTCTTGAAGACCTTTGTAGATGGAAATCCTAAGACAGACAGTTTTCCTAATACTTAACTTGACCCTCCTTTACTGCTTGTCCTGTCAGCATCGGCAGGGAGAACAGTGACATCTGCGGCTGCATTTTGCACATTCAAAGACTGTGTGCATATCCTGCCCATCCCTGTCTTCTCTGGACTGCCCGATCCCTGCTCTTTTGATCAGAGACTGCGCGGGTCTAGGCTTTTTGTCATTTTTATTTTTCTCCTCTGGATTCCCTCCACACCTTGAATAATGTCCTGGAGCTGAATGTAATGCCAAGGTGAAAGTGCATACGCTCCTTGCTTACTTCTGCAGGATGCAACATGCCATAAACTATCCTTTCTGTTTCTCCTAGAACACAGAGAATATTTCATTTGGGAATTGGCACTTCTCTAATGCTTAAGTGGATACGTGTTACACTGACCAGCAATGTAAAACTGATTTCTGCCTTTACCTCTTTCCTGTAGTTATTCTCCATTAGCAGATGCATTTTCATGTCAGTTCCGGGGCCACAACCTGCCGTCGATGCTTTCCAAGTTCTCCCTCCCGGTATCACTCTCAGAGTTCAAGAATCCTCTTGCACCGCCCGTCCAGGAGGTGAGATGGGGAGCTCCTTGTTCTCCTGCTAATAAGAACAAGGCATGATCAGGAACCTGCTATTGCAGGTTTAGAAGCTGCCAACTACTGTGTTGCCAACCCTGTAATTTGTTGTTTCATATCTACATGCCAGAAACCTGTGGGGATGTTCAAGGTGAAGCTGTGTGGATGATCTGTGCTGGCAAAGCACAATCCTAAAAGAAAAATCAGAATGTTTCTTTTCCTTGAGTGCTGTAGTAGGGGAAAACGGAAACTCCATTTGGTCTGTTGAAAACGGTCATAAATTAGTAGGACTGAGTGCAAGTTTGTGGATTCCTCACAATCCCATTTAATTTTATTATATTCCGTCTGCTTTAAGTTCACAATCTGGTTTTAAAAGCAAACCATCTCTTCACTCAGCTTTTGCTATGAAACTGGGATTGTTTAAAGGCTGTTGGAGGAAGTAGACTCAGCATGTAGTCAACAGAAGCCCCTGTGTTAAAGCATTAGCATTTTAATGCTCAGACTTGGGATAATAATATACGGATTTTGGATTTGTGAGCTGTTGTTTTGCATAGATCATGGCTTGTGGCATTTCTGGGAACTGGTGAAATGCAAGAAAGAGCTCGATAATGTGAGGTCTCCTGGCTGACGCTGTTATATTCCCAGATGAAGAAGCTTGGACCTCTGAACACAGCTTATTGTGGCAAAGGAAGCACAGGCAGATTTCTTCAGCTGATTTCTTTAGCTGATTTCTTGGGGTGTTTGCTAGCCTTCATGCTTTGATGACTTGCTGGCAATATGAATTTTGCCATTGTTCAAATACCTGGAAGATTAACATCGATTGCGCACATGGGCACAGTTGTGAGAGAAGAATTTGTTGTAATTACAGGTTGGCAGAGATGATGATCAGAGATAAAGATAAGTAATGACGTAGTGTCTAATACCAATAGTAAGTACTGGTCAGCTGCCACCTTGGGAGGCAGGAGAAGAGCAATTTTACCATTTTATCAGTACTTCATTGTAGTTATAGACAAGTCAGTGTCCTGAAAATTGAAGCTGAAATAATAGCATTCATTTTATTCTAGCTGCAGTGGCTTCAGGGGGCATTCTTATTTTCAGTACTCCTTTTAAAATTGACTAATTGCCTTAATACTGCAATACTTCTGGTTGTTCTCAGATGTCCTACTTTTGTTTAAAATACACAGTCTGCCACTTACTGCTGCAGTTATGCCTTGAAACAACAGCGTGCAATCAATGTCTGCCAGAGCTGTTGGAGTCTGTGGTGGGGTCCTGAGGGTCAGCAGTACGGCTTGTTTTCATCATCCTTTCAACGTGTGGAAGGATGAAGGATGGTGCTGTGAGACGCTACCAAAGTGCCTTCTACAGTCTGAAGAGGGGAGGCGAGAACTGTGGTTGCACAAGACTCGGGGCCACATTGGCCAGACTTGTGCATGAAGATGCACTGGTGGGCTGTTTTGAGTCATGGAGAGCCTCTTTTCGATAAAGCTAAGCATGACAGTTCTTGAGGGAGTTTAGACTACAGAGAGTTTTTAGATGTTTTCGTGTCAGTACGTTTTCTTCTACTTTGATTGACCTATGTAGAACTCTTTGTATTATTGTTTTGTTAGGAACTAGCCTTTTAAGAGAGATTAATCCAATCCCTGTCCTGAAGTGGTCAGGCTCCAATTGTAATTAACAGAGATCTAGCCGATAGAGGAATTAATCTGATGAAATGTGGGTGGGTTTTTGTTCCACTGTGCAGTGATAAAAGATGCTGTACTCTGAACTGTAAATGCAGTCAAATTGTGTTTGCTTTGCCTTCGAAAAAAATTAGCAAAGTTGGGACCTTTCACTGTAATTTCGTTCTTTGTGTACATAGGAGGGGATGGGGTTTTTTTAGCTTTGAAGATTCTCACCAGTAGTCTGTTATCTTGTGCTTTTCATCATGCTGACTGTACTGCCTCTGTATTTCTGAAGGTCATCCGTGCTACAAGGTCAGTACTGTGGGAAGGGATTTTTTTTTTCCTGCAGAAGCTGTTATGGTCTCATGGCATTCATCCCATTTGATTCTTGTCTTAAGCATGGGATTGGCTCCCTCCTTTTGGCACGTGCTTCTGGATGGGCAGAGAATACGGAAGGCATTAATAAAGTCCACGGTGCAAAATCGGAAAGCTGTTAAAGAGCCCTTCCTCCTGTTTTCATGCCAAGTTGAACTGCTTGATTTGAAAGAGGACAGAGTTATTTTCGTTTGCTGACTATGGGTGGAGTTGCTCCATTCCTTTGGGTAGATGAAAAAATGTGACACTGGCATTTTTATACTTGGGGTGCTGTGGTATTTTTTTGGCTGGTAGGAGGTGCAAACAACCTGCAATACCCTGAGCGAGGACAAGGACAAGACTGCCTTGAAAGATGGATTGCCTGTCTACATTCTGCTTTTGGTGTCTGCAAGGCCAAGTAGGTGGGAGATGTCCAGTGAGTCGTGTCTGCCAGGACTGCCACTGCTCTCAGCCGTGCCCCATGCCAGAGACAGGAATTCTTCTTGAGCCTGTAGTCTTGCTCTCTTTCCTTGCCTGTGATGACAAGCAGTATGTTGCAGTTGACCTCTGTGTAGTGGTCTTGTGCTTATAATTTGGAAAGATTTTGGCATTTGTGTCATGATCTCTCTGCTAGCTTCCCTTTCCCTGTGTTTAACCTGCCTTGCTTGGGTAGCAGGGTTGCAGCAGCGTGAGGATGAGCCGATGCCGACAGCTCGGTTGATCTGACGATGTCTCGGTGCTGTTGAGAGGAGGCCCCATTTTTCCCTTCTGCTCTCAGGTGTGTGCACACATGCCTTCTCCTTCCCCTCTTCCCGCTGCGCTAGAGCTCTGGCTCCTGTCCAGCTTGACTATTCATTTAACTTTTCAGCTGCACTAGTGTTCTGCCAGGTTAGCAGGTGGAATTTGCTCCGGGGGAGATACAGCAAGCTCCGGGGCTGGTGCAGAATGAGGGAGGCACTTCTGCAGCTGCGGATGTGAGTGAGGAAAGCAGAAGCTGTTTTCCCCCTTTCACGGTGCTGAGTTGTCTGTTAGGTCCCCCGTGCTGTGTAGTGTGACCCGGACTTGTAGGAATCCAAGGCAGCTTGGGACTGACCTGCACAGCAACCCAGTTTAGCTCATGCTGCTGGTGCTGGATCTCACCAGGGTGCGGCCATGGGGTGAGGAGATCCTGTGTGCTGATACAATAGGGAAACTCCTCTTCCCTTTTGGTGTTTTTTACAGGAAAAGAAGCAGTTTGCATCTTCTCTACCCTGACCCCAAAGAAGCTGTCCTTCCCTCTGCTGTGACTGTTGGTCCCTGTCCCTGTGCTCTCCTCTCGCATGTGTGGCACAGCCTTGACGTGACTGCAGAGCTCACCAGAGTGGAGCTCTGGTGGTGGTCAGTGTGGTGCACACTCCTTCATAACCTCCTCTGAAAGCACAGAAACACTTGGTGACCTCAGACCTTTAGGTCAGCACACGTTCACTGACAGAGACACGTACTGGGCGCTGCAGCTGGCGCATGGGAACTTGCTTTTCAGTATGAGACTTTCTTTGTACAATATCAAAGTTTCTTCATCCAGCCACTCTGCACGAAGCTTCTTTGCAAACCAAGAGAAAGGGATAATTCTTGCGGCTTCCATGCATTGCAGCCTCAGCTAGTTCAGCTGTTTCAGACAAAGATATAATCTCTCTCTACCATCCCTTGAGGAACAAACGTGGACTAGCAGGAGGGATCTTTCCACCCGTGAGGTAGAAGGAGCGTACCTAGGTGAATTAGACATCCCCTTTCCTCCCTGCATCGCCTTCACCACCATAGCTCTTTATCGTAAAGCACACAGTTATTATTGCTGTAGTTATCTAATTCTCCCTCGATGGGGCTAGGGTAACTGTGGAAAAAAACAGATGGGAAAGTATGACAGCTGCCGCTGAACAAAATATGTTTAATTTTTCACTTTTGTTTTAATAAGTCTGGCCATCCTGTTGGGAGTAAGGCATTGGTGGCTGAGGCCTCTGCCTTATGTATCCGGAAAACGTGCTGTGCTTTGTGTAACAGCTCGGTGGAAAATAAGTGAGTATGTCAGGGGACAGGAGTGGGAGGAGAGCTGCATGCAAATCCTGCACAGGCAGTTGTCTTCTGAGAGACAGGCTGCAAATGGGACTGTTCTGCTGGGCATCTGGAAGGCATTAAGAGTCACGGGAGCTTTTGTTGGCAGAAGTATGGCAGTAGTATTAAGGTGCATTTATATTCAGCTGGACTAGATATAAAAGCAGGGGGTTTTAGCGTGGCAAGTTAAAAAACTATGTCTTTCTAGGCCTAAATGGAGGGAATGGTTAAGATGAGAATGCAAAGTTGTTGGCTAAAATTAAAATGGCAGTATTAGACAATAAATGCTTTGCCCTACATTAATAGGGCTAATCAGAGCCTATTTTCTGTAAAACAGGGAGCAGTTTTAATAGCTGATCTGTTTCCAATAAAACAGCGTGGTCTGAATGATAAAGAAAGGTATTTCAGCAAACGTCCGTTCGCCTCAGCGACTTTGAAGTGCTGTCCTCCTGAGCTAAGGCAGCCCTTAGTTCTCACGTCAGACCTTGAGGAGTGCACATGCCAAATAACTAGATGATCCGGACTGGAGAACGGGGACTTGTATCCTTGGTGGGCAAAGCAAGCTGTGTTTTAAATAAGAGCGTATCCTTATGCAGTGAGAAACAAGCTGGGCCTGATCGCCGCTGCGTTGCTGTTTTCCCTTCCCTTTCCCGAACTTGTTGCTGGTCCCAGTCATCTTGGCCTTTTCCTTAGGTTTTCAGGCCTGGCAAAGAAAACAGCCTTAAAGAATCCTCGCAGGAAATGCGTTTTATTTCGCACATTACTCAAGAGTTTTACAAATGCTCCCGTTGGTTCCCAGAGGGAAGAGATCATGAATGCTGGATTTTGTCCCTCCAAGGCTTTGAGGCTGAGCTTTCCCTTGACTGTCCCAAACTTCCCAGATGGGCTGATGCATACTGCCCGTGTTTCCAGAAGCTACTGCATCTTCTCTGCTGTTGTCCGTATGCACAAAGCGATGTATTGTACCAACGCCTTCCGCAGCCTTGCGTGACAGCATGCTCTGACTTCACCCCGGGGCCTGCTGCGCCTTGAGGCGGGGAGGAGGGGGTGGCCATGGGCTGATCGGTGCCAGCGGGAGGGGACCAGATACTGCGGCAGACAGGACCCCCTCAGAGCAGACGGGAAAGAGGCAGCAGGGGGAGACAGGAAGGATGAACGGAGTACGGATGAAATTTAGAGTTGATTAGTAGTTAAATTAAGCAATGAAAAATGGTTTGGTTTATATTTCCATCATGGTCCTGGTGTTTCAGCCAAAAAGCTGGCTATGGATTCCCACCATGTCAGATGATGACTGAGTGAGTGGAGGCCGTCCTGGGACTGAAGCATCACCCTCGCCTGGGAAGCTACTCCCAGCCCTTTTGGCTTCAGCAAGGAGCCCAGCTAGTCAAGTAGAGTGAGACCAAGCGCGAAGATCAGCTTGTATTTCTGAGGGAGGAAGAGCATTTCGGACAGCCAGCGCAGCACAGATGGTGCAGGGAAGCCTCTTCTCCTGCAGACCTGTCTGTAAGCTCCAGCAGAGCACAAGAGGAGCAGATGGAGAATGGATGGAAACTGAATGTTCGTGTTCGGAAGGACAAGCAGCAGAACGTGAAAACACTTGCTGCTTTTGGCAAGAAACAGGTTTAAACCTGGAAAAAGTGGAAATGGTGTGAGGCACGTTTGCAGCGATGGCACAAAGCACGCGTTTTGGGCATGGTGCCAGCTGCAGGGTGCTGCATCACTCGGGCTGTTTTCTAGGACTAGATTTTAAGAGGTACCAAATTCCCAACAAAATGTAACTTATTACAGATAACTGTCAATGATAGTCATTCTCTCTTATCTGGGGCTGGTTGTTCAGGCTCACTTCGGTATGGAAGAACAGTTTTCTCTAGTTCTCAAGTTTGTCACAGCCAATCTGCAGCCCTCCCGCTTACGGCACCACAGCGTTCGGCAGTTGTTGGTTGTTACGGTGGTGAAGCTGCAACACCACTTTTGCCTGGCTGCTTGTTCCGTGGGTCGTAGCTGCGGGCTCAGGGGTGACTTTCCAGATATTCGCCCAAGAGCATAGAGGTGAAGGTGCATATGCAGAATCAGAGACTGTTGGATAAGACTTGCCACACACGTGGAGCTGTAACGAAAGCAACTGGCTATTTTTGAAATTAAATCACCAAAGTGACCAGTGGAGGTTGGTCCAGGTCAGGCCCTACCCAGCAGATTCTGCAGGTCTGGTAGAGCCTGTCTTACTGTCTCCTTGAACTGCCTTGGATTTTTCCAGGGTTATTTTGTGCTGTGAAATATGCAGACCTCTGTACTTTGATGTGAAGCTAGCTCATCGGACGTCGCTGTGTGCCAGCAGGTTGGAAATGTAAGTGAAATATATGAGACCTCTTTCCATCCAGGCCTGCATCTGGAAGGAAGGTTTTCAGCAATGTAAGCACTGGAGTAAGCTGCCTTTCTCTGCCAGGCTGATCTCAGATGTTAGCAGAACGCTATGCATTTGGTATCTTTTGCCAACCTTCCTCTTCTGTAGATTTTCAATTAAACATGTAAAATGAATAATAGCTTTTCCGAAAAAGATGTTTGAAGGTGATCCCAGATAATATGTTTTAAGATTAAAATCCATTCAGCCCCCAAAGCAGTAATCCCTGAAAAGACTGGGTGTGGGGCTGTCTGCAAACAGAAGATGTTTCTTTTGTGATTTGATAGCAGAGGAGGAATTGAGAATTAAAGATTTATGGAAAAGGGAAAATTATGTGGGCTGATGAACTTTGGTTTGAGGCTTTTATTGAGATTTGGCCCGTTATCCTGATGATTAATACAGCAGAGCTAGCTTCCTTCTCGGAGTCTGAGCTCATTCTGCGTGTGTTTCTCTCACCAAAACAGTGTTGGTTGCTATGAAATCCCCAAACAGCTTTTGTCAGTGAATCAGTGTTTTCAGAGCTGTTAGCTACGGGAAGGGTTGCCTGCAGTGATATGAAAAGGCTTTTTGTGCAGAAATTCAGACACGCTGATGCCTTTTGAATGCTCCTCCAAACCTCCTGAAAACAGGCGATGCCAAGAACCTACAGACCCTTGTCCCTCACTCTGCTGCTTTCAGCATCGCTCTGGGGACGCCGTGCAGGTCTTCAGCTGCTGTAACACAGCGGTGGTGTGCGCCTTGGTTTAACGTGAGCGCCATTCTTGGTGCTTTTGAAACTCTTGCCTGTCTGCACCCTAAAGACCTAGGTGCCTTTGCAAGCTTGGCCCATCCTAGTATTGCAGAGGGATGGTGAGCAAGCGGGGGATATGACGCCTTTGTGTTGAGAGGGGAGTCCTTGGCAGCAGCAGGCTGCTGCCTCCTGCCGAGCTGTCTGCTGGTGTTGGTGCCGTTTCTGCAGCGCTCAGCCCTGGCAGGGCTCTGCTCTCCGCAGTCCCTCCCAGGGCTATGCAGCAGTTTCCCATCTGACAGCAAAGGGCTCCTACTTCTGGGCCCCTGTCTTGGTTGCTTCAGGGGCACTTTAATCTGACCCCTCTGGGATGAACCCTTCGGTGATTACTGATTTTAGGGGGCCTTTTGTGGAAAGCAGCAAATCGGTCTCAGGGCTTAGACTGTTGGGCCATGGGCATCAGGGCCTGCATCTAGTTGACTCATTTTCTGTGTCTGCTCTCTCAGGAGGAAGACTATCCCATTTTCTTTTAGCACCTACTAAACTTGGTTTGATGAAAGAGGACTGAACAGCTCCAGATGGGGTTGTCCAGTCACATCTGTACGGCTGAAGCCCTCTGTGCTGCTCTGCTAGAACACGGCAGGTGCTGGAGCTACAGCAGGGGGGCAGGGCTGCTTGGTTTGAGGACACTGGCTATGCTGGTCAGTGTTGCGTAAAGACATGGTGATCATTAAAGGCTTGATTACAGCCTAAGCATCCACAAAGGCTTTGGGTGTGATGAACGTGTGTGCCTGGTCACCTTCTTAGGATTGGAGAAGAGATAAAACCCTTGTGTGGGGTGGAAAGCATTTCACCTTGTGACTTCTTAGTCACAAGGCGTAACCGTTGTGCGTTGTTTTCCCTCCTTTGTGCATTTGATTTCAGGGGTGTGTAACACCTCGTTTCTCACTCTGCAGACTCAGCTCATTCAAATGGTGATATGGATGCTCCAGCACCGGCTTCTTATTCAGCTTCACACTTATGTCTGTCTGATGGTGCCACCAAACGAGGAGGATTTCCGAGCCCAAGATGAAGACATGCCCTTTACCGCCAGAGTTGGAGGCCGAAGTTTAAGCACCCCCAATGCTCTCAGCTTTGGTTCTCCAAGTACGAGCACGCTTTTCTACGCTGTTCAGTCTGCAGCCCGCTTTAGAGCTTCCCGTAGCAGTGCCTAGGGGAATCGGGCCTTGGTAACAAGACAACTTGTCTTTGCTTGGGTACTTGCTGATTAGGCCCAGACCTTCTTAAATTTAGAGCTGGGCATTGGTGAAAGGGGCTGTTAGACCTTAAATTCTTGCTTTTAAAAAGAAGTAGTGCTTTGTAACTTGCCACGTTCTCATTGGTCATGTAAAATACTTTTATCAGAGGTACTTCTATTTTTTTCAAAGTAACTTGGTACATCCTTGCTGTACTCGGAAGTAACCGCCATGTTCCTCTGGCTGCACCACTGTTACTGCATGAGTTTGGTTTTCAGGAGAGGAAGAAAATTGTGAGAATTTGTTTCAAACAGCATTGGTTCCTGAGGGTTCTAAAGCCACCTAAGGAGATGCAGAGCTGGTTGCTGTTCTCACAAGTGGTTGATTTCTGTTTATGTCTCCTGATTCCTTTAATCTCCTCAGTGCCATTCTTCAGGTGGTTCCAGGAAAGCATTTTTGCAAGAGTATAAATCAGCTAGAAATCCCCAAACTTTTCTGCCTGTGCTGTTAATAGCAGCATTCTCAGGACGCCACTGAGGCTGGATATCAGAAGAGATTCTCTGTACAACTTTCAGCTTTACAGAAGTCATGAATTAGGGCAGAAATTTTGGAACGTGAGTCAGATAAGTCTGCGATCTGCTTATTCTGGCTCGCTCACAAGAGGATATTGCTTCTTGGCCTTTCTTTCTGCTTGCTCCCACCTTCTGTGCTGTTAGGCTTTTCATGTTACCACTTCACGGTATTCCAGCAGAGCTGGCTGGGAATTTTCTTTTCAGATGGTTTTTATGGACTGTTTATAGTCTCCAGAAGTACAATTTTCCACATAAATTGATGACTTCGTTGAAACATTTGACTTTCCCATTGAGAAAATCGCTGTGTTGTCATATGACTAATTGCAGATACATGTAGCATTTTGAGAGACACTTTCTTTGCTCTACAAATCTGAAGGGGTTATTTGGAAAGACCACATAGAAACAGCCTGAATTGATAATGTTTGCATCATTATGCTGAGGAATATAATTCAGTCTCTGTCTGTCTCTCTCTCTCTCTCTCTCTCTCTCCTCCCCTGATAGCTAGTAGTGATGACATGACTCTGACAAGCCCTAGCATGGATAATTCCAGTGCTGAGTTGATACCTGGTGGGGACTCACCCCTAAATAAAAGGATGACGGAGAATCTCCTAGCAAGCTTGTTGGAACATGAGCGGGAAGCTATTCTTAATGTCCCTGCTGCCCAAAATCCAGAAGATCTTCGGATGTTTGCAAGGTAGGACATGAGGAGTGCAGAATGTAATCTTGTTTTCTTACTCTTGCTGTTTTATTCAGTGAGTGGTGTGGACTCTGAGCAAATCCCATTAGCTTGGGAGTTTGGAGGTTAAATTCTTTGGGGTATGTTCCCCTTACACCCATTTCATCTGTGCCCATCAGTTTTTGACAAAAGGTAATACATATGTCACAAGGACACTTGTGGATGAAGAGTGCTGGGTGTGTGAAGGAGCATCAGGGACTGCACCGTGTCCACACACGGTCGACCTGAAACTGCATGGCCTAAAAAAACCTTCTAAGCATGCAAAGCGAAGACCAGTCACGCTGATGCTGTCATTTTGTGTCCATTGGTATTTCCAAGCCAGCTATCCTTTACTTTAAGGTTTGTAAACTCTATGCAAACAGGAGACAAGGAGCATCAGACACAAAGCCAGCTGAATACTTTTACAGTCCAGCCTACAAACGTTTCAAAGCCTGTTTTGCAGAGCTGAGCTGCTCGTTACGTTGGTTAGGCTAAAGGCATTAGGATGTGTGGTGAGTAGCAGTTTGGTTGTTACAGATTTCAACACAACAAAAATACGCAAGATGTGGTTCTGCACGTGGTAAGCAGCAGAATGACATCCTAACCAGCCATCTGGGAAGAAGGTGGGGGGGGAAATACTCTTTCTTCCTAAGCATTTCAAAACACAGTGGCATCCCTGGAATGCAGCTTTCCCTGGGTTTCATACTTGTGGGGCAGAAAACCCCCTGAGGCAAGTACTGCAGCTTTTCCTGTGCTTCCCAGATTCACTTGGTAATCCCCTGAAAACCTGGTGCTCACCCTAGGATGGATGTAGTTGAGCAGCCTAGAGAAATTGCAACAGCAAGAAAATGCTTTTCTTGTCTGCAGCAAAGTTTGCAGCTATGCTGTGCTCCCAAGCTTGTGGGTGGTTCCTGCTCTCTGAATTACTTGTCTCCTTCTCCATCTTCTGTAGACTGCTCAGAGGATATTCTCTGATTGAGAGGTCACGCTTTGGCCATTTGAGAGCTTTGAAATGTTTTTTCCTCATTATGAGGCAAGTCGTTACAAAACCAGTGAGAAAGGGAAGTAAACCCAAAATCACAATTGGTGGTATCTTAAGACACAATTTGTGGGGGACGCTTTGGACCAATTCAGTGGCATGCAGGTTCTCGGTTATCCTGGGGAGAGGAAAGGATTTCATGATTGCTGCCTTATCGCTTCCCTCACCTGGGTAAAGCAGCCATTTGAAAGCTTTGGAATTGTAGATGCAAAATTGATTTCTTCATAAAATCAGCCGTTGTCACCAGGCGGCTGTCTGAACGGCCTTTGCTTTGCAGTTTGCTTGTGCACCGGGTTCTCTTGCAGATCCCCGGGATGGCTTTGCTAAGGCTGAATTTCCATTCCATTAACGACGGAGCTGACAACTGCATGGCTTACTTGTCGGTCAGTGGTGAGGAAGAGAGAAGATAACGATAAGCAATTGGGTCCTCTGGGCAGGATGCTGGAGTGTGCAAATAGAAATGTTCATGCAAGACGCTCTTGGTTACCGGTGGCTTTGAGGCGCTGTCACTTGGAGGTTGTGGGTGTATTTTCCTCTCTTTTTGTGCCGTGAACCATCAGAGATGAGAGTCTGGGTAAACCTGCTGCTCTTAACGAAAGCGTAACCGATAGTGGAGAAGGCGCCGCAGGGCATGAGCTGATCTCCCTCGTTGCCCTGACGCAGATACTGCCCCAGCTCTTCCTCTTGCTCCATTCTGAGGAGCCTGACGGGGGCTGCACTCTGGCAAAGAGCTGCCTCCCAGAGCGAACTCCCGCTATAAATGCACAGCTACTGCCCCAGCCACGCTGCGCCTGCCCTTCCAAGTGCGCTTGGGTGCGCACCCAAAGGGATGGGCTGTTTTCAGCAGCGCCATAAAGTTCAGCCCGATACATTTTCTTGTGTCTGTGCCTCTGCAGGCCTGTTAGTCATTAAACAGATGGCAGAAGGAGCTCGTGCCTGTCCATGGCTATGCACAGCCGGTGTTTGCAAGACAGAAACCTTAAGGGGAAATAAGGAATACTGAAGCTTGGCTCCAGCTCTGGCTGCATTAACCCTCATAACGTTGAGCGGGAGTTGAGATCCAAGTTCTTTCCTTAGGTGCTGCTGGAGGAGGGTTGGTGTGTGCTTCCAGAAGTAAACTTAAGGAGGAGACAGGTTCTTGTTGAGCTAGATCTTCAGTAATGTACACAAAGCGTTCCTCACCCCACATTTAAGAAGTGCTTTTAAAGACAGTTTGAGGCTTCAGTCATGGCTTCTCTCCTAAACCATGGGTGTGGAGTCACTTTCAGGATTTTTTTTTCCTCGCTCTTAGATTGGGAGATGGAGATCCTTTACTCCCCTGAGGAATGCTCGTTGGTGGCACTAAGCTGTGGACACTTCTCCATTTTGAAGCAGTGCTGGTGGAAGGGATATCTCCTTGGCCAGAAATAAGCTCATTTTATTTGAATGACTAGTCTGAGATGATAATTTATTATTTTTTTTAGTGTTTAAGAACACTGCACTGCTGTTAGAGGGGCAGCTCTTATAACCTGAAGAGGTGAGAACAGTGATGAGCAATGGAAAGCAATAACCTTCCATCACTGCACCCAGATCTGGAAGTGCACATGTCAAGAGACATACCAGTGCAGCTTCAGAGGGACTCAAGTGCAGTGCTGCTGCCCCAAGAAGTGCCATCATACGTCCTCTTTGGGTCCCGTAAATGTTCATTGCCCAAAAAGGCGGAAGCAGTGCCCGTTGTCACTGGAGCTGCGAGCCCCAAGTTACAGCTTGGTAGATTCTAGTTGGGACTTTTGGGAAAACTTCTTCCCTGGGAGGGTGGTGCAGCCCAGTATGGATTACCCAGGCCTGGGGGGGGGGGGGGGAGTGTCTCCATCCTTGGAGGGTTCAGAGCTTGGCTAGAAAAGACTATAGCATTGGCAATAGTCCTGCTGGAGCAGGATGCTGGACTAGACTTCGGAGGTGTCTTCCAGCCGGCATTTTTGTGATATCCTTTAATATCCTCTCTAGCTTTTATGGGAGTGGAAAGTATTTCATCTTGACTGGTTACAAACCAGATTCTTTTTGAATATAGGATGGATTTATTTATTGGAAAACTCCTGCTTAGTCCGTGTTGCTGTTGAAAGCCAGGTCGTAATCATTTGCACAGAAGACAGCTCTGCCAGGAGGAGAGCATGGGCAGTCGCAGGGAGCAGCTTTGTAAAAGGGAGGGGATACATAGCTTCTAAAATCTTTTCCAAACTTGCTTTTTGAACAGTGATACAAGTTATAAGATACAATACACAAAAATGTCTGTTAATACCAGGGAACAGCCTGGTTTTGACACACACACACAAACCGACGCTGTCCCTGCTAATGGCCGCTTCTCAGCGCACCCTGGTTGCCAGCCCACGGGAGGAAGCCAGTTAGCCCGATTGAAATACCCTGGGGGAGAGAGTGCAAACGGCAAGTGCACAGCCCAGATAGTGGAAAGGTAAATATGACTGGGGCTTGTCCGGCTGCTGTTTGCTTGGACTGCAGGTACAGGGGTGTCGCAATTCGGCACCATAGTGCCCGCCTGAGAGCTGGCAGGTGAACATCAAAGCAGAAAGGGGTTTGCAGAGTGCTGGGGGCTGCACAGCCCCAGGCTGCCTGCAGGGATGGGGCAGTGAGGTTCCTGGCTCTGAGCTTACGTACTGCTCTTTGGGGAACACAGGGGGGGCGAGAGGAGGGACACAGCACATTGGGGAGCAGAGAAACACGAATGGCAGTGGACTAGAGGTGACACCTACTCCGTGCAGCATAGAGGGAGGGTGTGATGGAGACTCGTTGCACAGTGACTCCTCTCTAGTCACTCATGAAGGGTGACGGGTGACTGAGTGCCAAGCCTGAGCAGCAGGAGGCAGCCAGGCCCTCCAGGGAAAGCATGAGCGGCCCCGTCCTGCTGTCACGTGCAAGTAGGTGGGAATGCTCAGAGGGGTATTTGGGCCCTTCCGAGGGCTGTTCCTGAGTGAACAAACTGGAAAATAGCTCTTGTCATCGCCGCTCGTCACCGTCCCTTGGCATGAAGCAGCAGGACAACATCCTCCCAAACCGCAGGCGGGCGGGGAAGTTCGAGCAGAAGAGCTGCCGACACGCAGAGCAGAGCGCAGGGCACGACACCTGCAGCTGCACGTCTGGCTGTAGCTGGGGAAGTGATGCTGGCGTATGGGTTCAGGCCCTGATGGGTAGGAGTACTGGAGTGACACGTGCAGCCTGGCTCCGACATCTGGGAGGGTGTTAGGACAAGGAAGAGGCTGAGCGGCCAACTCGAGCTTTGCCTGGAGGCCTGGCTTGGCGTTACAGCCCCGACGGGTCCTGGGGAGCTGCTCCTCAGCCGTCGGGGACTGGCTGCAGGGAAGAGGCTGCAGCGGTTTGTCTCAGACCCTGCTATGGCTGCACAGGGCCGAGGTTATCTGATGCCTGTAGTGGGAAGTGGCCAGCAAAGGGGTATCTATCTGTGCTGTCTCTGTTTAAAGAGAACTGGGAATTTAAGAAGCCAGTGTGGTTTGACCTTAGGCTTCAGGATTTTGAGGCTCTTTGGGGGCTCTGTAACTCCCAGAGCTTCTCCATGGTTCCTGTCATGACAATTTTCATCTCCCTATTGTGATTGCTCCACCTAACCCAAGCTGACCAAACCTCAAGTGCATGACCTGTAGTTACCAGGCCCCTTTGGGAAACACGCTCTAGATTCTAAAAGCAAGTGTAGGTACCCAGGCCCCTGCTGCAGAGCTGTGACCAAGGGCATTGCAGACCCAGCTAAGAGAGCGCAGAAGTAAATCTGCCACGTCCTGACTTCTCGAGGCTTGTTGGCACTTGTGGTTCCTCACTTTCTGGAGTTAAAACTACGTTGAAAATTGACAATATCTCAGGAAACGCCTCAGGTGAGGAAAACTTTTGATTCAAGGAGGACCTTTGCAAAGCCCTGAAGCCGGGGAGTCCCCTGTTTTTCCGGGGGACTTCTATGCTAGGCATGCCGAAGGTAAGAACCGATTGAATTCAGTTCACCTCCTATGTAAATGAGGGACACAACCCAAACGCCTTCTGATATGTGTCCCTTGAGGGTGGCAGTATCAGTTCTAGCTCCATGCACTTGCTTTTGGCCCACGTGCCTCCCTTGCTCTTCTTCCCTGCAGGCTGCTGCACTATTTCCGAGGTCGACACCATTTGGAGGAGATCATGTACAACGAGAACATGCGTCGCTCCCAGCTGCTGATGCTGTTTGACAAATTCCGCAGCGTGCTGGTGGTGACCAGCCACGAGGACCCCGTGATTTCAGTTTTTCAGTCTCTCTTAAAGTGACTCTACTGGCAAAGGAAGGGAACCTGCTACCCTCTCCATAGGGATCGTCTAAAAGAGGCCTAAAAACTAAAGGGGGTGACTTCAGTTCCTTCTTGCCATGTGACACGGAGCAGGTTCTCCCCCTCTGCGCCTCGATTTCCCTTCTGCTCCCTGGGTGCCAGCTGAGGCCGGTCAGGGCGCGGGCGCTGGGGCCTGCTGCGGGACAGCACGCGCTTGCTCAGCCTGCGTTCCTGCCGTGCTGCCGTCGCAGCACGGGAGCTGCCGCTTCACAGCCCTGCCCTGACGCTGCCCCCTCCCCAGGGCGCGGGAGAGCGGGCCAAGATGACTTCCACTGCGGCGTTCCTGACAGTGCTTCACCTTTGGGGGGACGCTGGTGCATCAGAAGTGCTTTCTCTGCTCTCCAGCAACGTGCCTGCTGGGTCGTGCAGCCCCGAGCACGGTTGTTGAGTAGCCTGGTGCCCTGGCAGAGCACACATGGCCTCTGCTCAAGGGCAGAGTGGAGCTGGCCTGGCCTTTAGGGAACTGTCCCTGGGCACCGAGGAATTCTGTTTGAGCACTGTTATCTGGCAGCAGCGAGGACAGAGGTTGAAAGGCAAAGTATCACAAGTAAACAGTTTCACAAATGACTCGCTCGCTGTGTTACAGCTTGTTTCCTCTCCCCCCTCTCATTACTGAGCGTCTCTTTGAGCACGGCTGTCACCAGGCACCCTCTGTGTTTGTGGGTTTTCAGGGTTTCCAGTTTTTGACTGGGGGGTGGGGAGCTTGGTTGTTGAGCAGGACCAATTAGCTGGCCAAGCTGCAAGTGTAGGGACAGAGCAGCTCTGCACAGCCAGAGGCTGGATCTGAGGGCACTCAGCCTTGTCCCCTGGGCCTTGTTTTGTTCCTCCCTTCTTCTCCCTGCAAGCATGGCTGTGGCTGCAGGGAACCAGCCGGGGAACCTGGCCTGGGTTAAAACTGTCCAGCCGAAAACCAAGACAGCTGTGTTTCCTGCTCTGGCTCAGGCAGGACTGCTCCTCCAGCTCTGCCAGGGCTAGAACAAGAGGTGACAGCCCTGTTTCTGGGGACAGCAGGAGCTTAGGCCAGCTCACCCCTGCTCTGTGCTGTGTACCCTGGGAAGGGGAGGGGCATGGTGGCAGCTTCCAGGGGTGGGTGGTGTTTTAAGACTGTCAGGCTCCTCCTTAACACCTTCCCTTACACCACACACACAAGCTGGAGTTTTTCCCAGAGCTGGGGGCTCGCACAGAGCAGCTTCACTTGCCCACACAAACTGGGTGAAACCGTGAGCTGTATGTAACTTCTCTACCACCAGCACCGCACAGTCACGCCGGGGGAGCCCGGTGTCCACAGCACAACGGCCACCCCCTGACAGCTCCTTACTCACAGTCCCTTCAGCGCATCCTGCCCTGCAGCTACAAGCAGGGACAGTACAGAAGAGCAAAAGCAATATCCGACCCAAAAATCAGATCAACATTGCTGTAGGCCCCCAGTCCCAACCAGCCCCCAACTGCATCTCAAGGCAAGTGACTGAGCTCAGCCTAACAAGGGCTGTTCAGAAGGGGCCAAAGAAGATTTTTTTCACGTGGTAGGGACAAGGGTTTTGAAAAACTTGAGCTTATTTCTTGCATGTGAATCCTAAGGGGAGGGTGGGGTGGGGGTATGCGTCCCTGTCCCTGGCTGCAGTCCTGCAGGTTCTGCCCTAAAGCCTAGAGGTTTTTTTTTCCCTCCTTGTACCTCATGGCAGGCTGCAGCATCGCAGAAATCTCAGCATTGGTGCTTTCTCTCTGTTGGGGGTCGCACACTGGTAAATTTTGAACTGATTTCAAAAGGAGGTGGGAAAACAAACAAAAACACATTCTTGTTCTCTAAGCTGGATGTTATGGTACAGGTTGGAAGGGATCTCTGGAGGTCTTTTATCCAAACCTCTGCTCAGAGAGAACGTGTTAGATCAGGGCATGCAGGAGCTTGTCCAGTGGAGGTTCAAATGTCCCACAGCTTCTCGGGGCCCCTGTTCCAGTGTTTTTGACCACCCTCACAGTGAAAATTTTTTCCATACAGCTAATGAGAATTTCCTGTTTTCTGGCTTGTGCCCATTGCTTCTCATCTGCCTGACAAAAGCCTGGCTCTGTCTTCTCTACGCCCTCCCACTAGGCAGTTGTAGACTACAGCAAGATCCTCCTTCACCTCCTTTTCTCCCAGCTCCCATCCTGTCAGTCAGCCCTGCTGCCTCCCAGTCTTTCGACTATTCCCCCACAGGAACCTCAGTGATGGCCTCTACTGGGGGCCAGGGGTGATGGGAGCAGCACAGCAGGTCAGAGCTGGGACCTTGAGCCTGGATCCATCGGCAAGGGAGAAAGTGGCCTTCAGCGGCCAAACCCAGCCTCAGTTCTGGCTGGGAGATCCATGCCACTCTGCCCCACAAATAAAATTCCACCTTGCCCCATTCATGGTGATAAAGTACATTTATTGTTAAAAACCTCCAAAGCGCTGCCGCTGCCCTAGCTGCTGCCCTGACGTAGCTTGAGGCTATCATGCACAGCACAGCTCAAGCCCTGGTTGGTGGCACACTTGCAAGGCAAGTGTTCCATCGCTGCCATCTCTCTCTCTGTTTTCTTGTCTACAACACTCACAAATTTGTTTCCTCGTAAATAAAACCTGAGGGGTTTCTGTGCCCACTCTCCCCTGTTGCCGATACCAATCCTTGTTGTGACTACCACGTCCCGCTCCCCCGGTGGGTCATGCCCAGGTACCATCCAGATGGCTGCGTCTTGAGTCAGGTCCTTTTGGTCAAAAGCTTTATCGATCCCCAACGCTTGGCAGAGCTTGGAGGGCCCGTTGCACAGCTGCCAGTCCTTCAGCAGCTTTGTGGGTCCTTTCCTTGCAGTGCTGCGCAGCTCCCGCATTGCATCCAAACCCTGAAGAGGTTCCAGAGAGCGAAGCAATACTGCGGCCCCTTCCCCTGGGCAGAGGGAGAACCGCGTGTTAGTACAGGGGTGTTTTGTCAAGAATGTCTCAGTTTGCAGCCCCACCTCAGCTCCGGGCCTCTGGCTCAGCTTCGCCTGGTGGAGCAGGGAATTGCCTGTAGCACCCAGCCACAGGGTCTGTCCTCCTCTCCGTTCGCTCCGCCTCTGGAGCCAGCCACCAACCCGTGGTCAGTGCCCTCCCTTCCCTCTTCCGAGCGTCCCATAGCTCTGTGTCCCTTATCCATCAGTGCCGACTTGCCCTTCCCCAACCCCACTTCTTGATGTTACTAAGTCTAGCTGCTGCTCCAAGGCTTGCCAGAGGGCAAGAGGTTTTTCTTATGTCAGCACCACGTTCAGGAATAAATACACATATGGTTTAATTTTGGCACAGCTATTCAAAGCTGCTCCCAAACCCAGCGGATTTATAATAAACTCTGATTACAAGAACTCCAGCTAACAAAGGAGAGGAGGAATGAGTCGGGATGCTGCCAGCGGAAAGCGGCAGCTTGCAGAGTGAGGCTGGACAGAGAAAAACCTGGGAATGAGCTGCAGGCACTGGGAGCAGCCCCTGTCTGTGCTGCTGCTGCTGCTGCTGGAGCCCCAGCTGCAGGTGTTACCAGTTCAAACCCCCAGCTGGAGGTGTAACAGTGGGTGGGATGACCATGCCTACAACAGAGAGCGATCGGAACCCCTGAGCCAGGGGAGCTCTTGCAGGATGGGGACCCAGGGCAGGACAGGGCTGCAGTCTCTGGCTGTGGCATTCATGGCCCTGGGAGCATCACTTCAGCAGAGAAGACCTGTCTATGATAAGAAGTGAAAAAACCTGACAGATTCTCTTCAAATTTGCCGCCCTGGCAGGAGCCTTAGGAAACTCCAGCCCCCCCCAGCTGTTGTAACCAGCTGCCCTCCATGATTTTGGTGGCAGTGAAGCAAAGATGCAGCTCTGAGCACAGACATTCCCCTGTGACAAGGATCTCTGGCCTAAGTGGGACATAAACGCTTCCTTGGTATTCTCCACTGGACAGCAAGGAAGGTCTTCTCATGACCTTGAGTGGGCGAGGAGAGAGCCTGGTAAAGCCGTCTGTGTGCTGCCCCACACAGCACCCCTTGTGCTGGGGCCGCCCACAGCATTCCTCCCCGCCAGCATCTGTGCGCTCCGTGATGCCGCTCCACAAGAATCCCCTCTCCCTCTCCCGCCCCAAACATCTGGAGCTGTGCTCACGCCTGGCAAAGGCATCTTTTGTAGGCACTGACAGATCCCCAAGGACCTGCGATTTCCAAAAATAGAAACCCTCTCATATTCTGTACAAATCCCACACTAAATTACCCTTCTGGGCTCCCAGCTGAGCCTATCAACCGAGGACCTGATAGCTGGTTTTGCGAGGTGTGCCTCTTGCCCCCAACCTGCTCAGAGCCCCCGCTGCCCTCGGTACAGCCCGGTGAGGTCAACAGGCTTATTTCCAACAGCTGTCAGCAATCTGCTCCCAGGCACTCCCTTGCTAAGGATGGGGATTGATGCTAATCTGGCAGCCAAAAGCTGCTTCTCTGTACTACAGCGATTTAGAGCTCAAAGGTCACTTTAGATTTTTAAGAACATGCTCCATGTCCTAATTCTGCTTTTTATCCGTGCACAAAGAAACATCCCTTGCATTGGGATGCTGCCTCGCTTGCCAGGAACAACTGTGGGACTCTGAGTGACCGCTGATTCCACGGCTTGCTTGCATCCATCACGAATGCAAGTGGAAACTGTGGTTATGCTTGAACTGAACGGAGTCCTTGCGAGTTCGTGTGAAGAGCGGCAAGCACCCAGAGAAACTGCAGGCGCTCCCAAAGACGTGGCAGGGGGTACCTGGCACTTCTGTCTCTGGGTGCTCTTTCTGCATGTCCACCAGAAAGTTTT